GTGTCGCTGACAAAGATGTTGAACAGCACTCAACCCAGAACAGATTTCAATGTAAGACGATAAAAGCTCTCTGAGTTGTTGAAAGTTCCTATTGTGTCCAAGTTCTCTTCCTTCAGTGTAACTTTGTATTTTTAGTCTTTTTTAAATGAGAATCTAATAGCATGAATCCATGCTGGGACACTTTTTAAATAAAACAGGTTTATCAGAGGCACATCATGGAGGAAATGTGATTTTTTTTTTTTAACGTAAAATCTACCGATGTGTCCAGCACAATGTAATATGTAAATGTGTAAAATATATATAAGTATTGGACAAACTAGAACATTAAAATTCTAATAAATGTCTTAATAATTTACATTTTTAAAATATGACTTGCATGTAGCACCGATGCAGTCTCCAAGCCAGTGAAGCAAGCTTGGAGCAAGGTATCATTCACAATGAATGATGGGAAAGACAGAAATGCAAGTGGAATAGAAAAGCAGTGGAATATATGCTGATTTTTTTTTTTCCCAAAGAAACTTGCACGTGTGAGGTGATTCTGTATTAAGACTGGACTTCAGAAAAAAAAAGAAAAAAAAAAAGAAAGAGGGAAAACAAACGTTTCTGAGAATGACTTATTCATTACAACTTCTAACATTTTTTCATGAAGGGTGTTCCAGTCAGGGTTGAAGTGGGACCACGCGACATGAAGAGCCAACAGTTTGTAGCCGTTAGACGAGATACAGGACAGAAGCTCACCTTTTCTGAACATGAAGCAGAAGATAGACTTAAGCAGATTTTGGAAGAGATCCATACTAACCTTTACAACAGGTAAATTGAGAGGTAGAGTAAATGGCTGTGCTAATCATGGATGCACTTCACCTGTCAGAAGAATTTCTCACATAATTGGTTCATCTGTGGAGAAAGACAGGGTAGGCTTGTCTTTCTGTTTGCGACATTTTTCTGCCTCTGAAACTTGTTCACATAGAGCAATAGAAGTTTCCTGTTGTGCTCATGGAACAGTGTTGAAGGTTATGAACTTATTTTTAAAAATACTTCCATGAGTTCACATTAATAAATAAATGTCTCATAAATAGTTTATGCGATAACAATGCACAGGAGTTTTGAAAGATACACAATTGTCCAAGATACTTCAGTAATTGAGGTTCTGTGCTTAAAAGTTAAGACCCTACATCCTATTGACTTTCATAGGATTGTTTTCTTAAAAGCAATCAAACGCTTTTGTGACTGTTCTTTGCTCTTATTGCGTATGCCAAAATCCTCTCTGGTCTGTCGTTGCAAATTGTTATTTGTAAGTACACTGAGAAGGAACAGCATGCTGATCCAGCACCATGGCAGATGAGTTTTCCTACTTGCTTCCCTGGTGGTCAATGTTGCTGACAAGCAGAATGTTCTTACCTAGTTAAAAAGCATTTTGCTGTTTAGAACATAATTAGAAGAAGAAAAATCTATGCTTGTCATACTTACCTGTTTCTGTCTACAGGTGGTCAGTGTTGAACTGACATGCACAACTGTGAATTAACATGGCGAAACATGCAGCAACCTGAAGAACATCCCATTGGCAATTAATCAAAATTTTGTCTCTTTGAGGGCAGAAGTGGCAGAAAAAGATAACCTGAGCAGAAAGATTCAAATGAATATATAGCTTGTCTTGTAACTTTTTGTTTTGTCTGACTTTGCAAACACAATTCATTTGGCCAGTGAGGTTGTGTGCATAAACCTGACCAAAATTTTACTTTTTTCATTTTCTTAGAGCTTCCGAGGACCTAAAAAGTCATATGGTGGTAGCCAATACTATGGAGGACTTTCAAAAAGAGCTTGATTCGGGAAAGGTAAGGAAATTTTCTTCGATCTGGTCTAGTAAGTGCCTTCACACACTTTCTGTCCCTTACAAATAATCAGGGGCTACAACTCTCCCCTGACAAGCAGATGAAGCCTCTCCTGTAGAGCTGCTTTCCCCAAATTTATGATACATGTTGCTTTCTTCTTTTGCTAAAATACTGTATTTACTAAATACCGTGTTTCAGGCTACCGCCATTCAACACTTAGTCCTGTGCCAGAGGTTACAGGATGTCCTGAAGTGACTCCCAATGCTGCAGTTTAGTAACTTGCATTTCTAGTGTTACATTTTTATCAGAAAGTGCTTTTCAGAGAGGTAAATGTAAATATTCAGATAAACTTACTGTCATCATTCTAAGGCAAACAGTGAAAAACACTTGTTAAGTCTTGTAATACAGTCCAAGTAAGTGTTTAAAGTACATGCTATTTGCGTCAAAGAGGTTTTACCTTTATGACCTGAGTAGAAGCTGTTGGGTTCACTGAGAATTACTGCAAGTCAGAAACCTCCTTGGACTGATAGTAAGAATAAGCAGTAATGCGGATGACTGTGCTCTGCTGATCTAGAGATCTGCAAAAAAAATCTAAAGTTCTGGCAAAGTATTTGAAGTTTGGATGAGAGATTGAGTCTTCAATAAGGAGTTGAGTGGTTGCTTCTTTTTTGGAGATCGGCTCACAGAAGTTCTTAACCCCGAAATTCTGTCACAAACCCCACCTTTTGAAATTGTTCATGTATTTAGATTAATGTGTTCATGTAGCAGAATCCCCAGGATCAGTCATTCAGGCTGTGTATTTTATAAAGAGAGATTGGAGGAGGGGGTTGTGTACCAATTAGATCTACTCTGAAAATTTCAAAGCTTCTGATGGAAAATGCACGAGTGTCAAGAATTTGTAGAACTTACATTAACTTAAAAAAAACAGTTTTAAATTATTCCTGGTTAGGCTTGACTTTCCATCACACTCTTTTCTTGCATTGCTATTGCACTTAAATTCAATTTATAACAAGATTGAAAGGAATAATTATGAACTTCAAAGGAGAGGCTGATTCAGCGTGCTTCCGAAGTTGAGTTTTTAGACATTCTGTGCATAGGTACTATAATAGTAGTCCTGCCTTATTTTCCTCTGCAAAACTAAATACAATGGCAAAACACTCTGTTCCCAAACAGTGTTGGGCTCTTCATGTTGATTGCAAATTATCATTTCCTTGGTGCAAATATCTCTAAAGCATCTGATGATTCTGGTGGTAGATTGAAAAAACAAAAAATCTTTAGTCTTTGCTTAACAAAAAATTGTGCTCTGCATAGATGTTCAGCTAGACTGCTGCTCTTGTACTGTGATTTCAAGATGTTGCGTCATGTATCTTTCACTTCTAAATTAAACAAGCACTCTGAAACTATGCTTGACTGTCTTCAAGACAAGGAAACAGTAGAGGAAGACATAAGCTCTTAAAAAAATCCTAAGAGAGACAGTAAACTTGTATGAAGAACTAAACTGAAATGAAGAGCCAAGCTCATTCCAAGAGCAGGA